ACGGACACTCTGCCCAAGTAATTTACTATGTAACTATACAGGAAGGTCAACCACGCCCCAGGATTTATAAGCTGGCCGCCAGCTGAAGACAAGCAAAATACCTGCAAACGCTCAAAGTAAGMGAAAGAAAAACTTCGYCGTAGCACCACAGCGAAAAGATGGCCCMGTAGTGAGCATACGATCGCCATAGCCACCTGCCAAGTTGGCTCCGCCCCGAGAGATGGTTGTTTATACACAATTAATCGTACGGCTCTGATCCAACATTCTTTAGTTAAGGTACTTCTGGGGTAATTTTGACATCCCACACGGTACCGCGGGCCTCGTCTTTTAAGAAAAATAAGGGCTGTTTTTTCTCTCTGACGGTTGCGTGCCACCACCGCCGTGACTGCAGGCGCGTGGCGGGTACAATTCGGGAAAAGTCCCGGACTCCCTACCCGTGTCCCAGGAAGTCGGCGTTACCACGATTCAGTATTTTCTTTTTTTACTTGTCGGCCTTCCCTCCTTGCCACATCCATCTGCAGGTACCATCATTGGCCTCCTCCATCCGCAGGTACTGTTAACATGCAGTCCATTTCGACGTCGATGCTGCAAAAGTCCCTGCGCCGTCGGCCCTATAGGGCCAGAATTTTTTTCCACGCGGCGAACGCGGTGGACCTGTCTTTCGCTGTACTTTTCCTATTTTTTGGTGAAAGTGCACTGTCAGGTCAGCCCCTGCGTCAAGAAGAATTCCTATTTCAGATTCCATTAAAACGAGGGAGAACTCTTTAGCCGCCTACAAAATGACAAAGGGTTCGCATACCTTTGTTCGGCATCAGATAGGACCGAAAGACTATAGCATGAATAATTTCATAGCCTCAGCAGCTCAGATGAACTACAGGATCATCATCTGCCGTATGAAACCGATACCGACTAGCCCACTCTTTCCACCAAAACAGGGGCACCAACTCCAAGAGCAGTAATGACTACTTATTAACGTTTACCGGTTTCACATCCTCTCTATATTGCGAGTATGTGGAGAAGGTGATTGACGTGAACGCCATCAGCAGCAGCCTCTAGACTGCCCACCTGCCCATCTTCACAAGTTTCGATTCCCCTGATTCCTGTCCCGCAAAGTTGAATTGGGATCATCGTTCACAATGAGCAATTAGAGAACTGGCCAAGCAGATAATCACATGTGCTATAGATGGGTACATCAGTTGACCAAAACTACCCACATTCACACAACATCTGAAAAAGGAAACTATGCAAACATCACAGACAAAAAGCCACAGATAAGCAGCTATACTGACAACATCAATTCACCCGGCGTCCTAATATTCCGCCTCAGGTCAACTAGATTGCCCGAATTGTTCGGACAGAGGGCCATATGGCACGAGGAGACATCTACCAGTTTAGCTAGCTTGATGTTCTTGATTCAACCTGCGGTTTGAAGGATTCTTAGCTATACCTTCCTGACTGGGTCAAGTCAGGACGATGTACTTACGACGGAAGTTAAACCACCAGTACATCGCCCAGCTACAAATTTCCGACGCGGCCGTTAATGCGCCGCATCGGACGGGGGTCGTCGAGCATGAAACCGGTCGTTCATTTTTCACTGCTACAGTGCACAAAAAAAAATTAAAAAAAAATTTGAACTTGGCTGAGTGAATGGCCGTCGGGGAAACAATCTCTACAAGCTGTGATCCCACCTAGTCCTTGTTGAAACGGACCTGCCAGGGATTTAGGATAGATTCATTTTTAGTTTTCTTTTTTTGTTTGTTCTTTTCCTTTTTGATAGATTCGCCTGCCAGTCTGGCAGGTTGTTCTCTGTGAAACTCTGAAGGCCCGGCTACTGGGCGTACCTACAGTGGGACTCTGAAGAATGTATCCAGCTGATTTTATGGCCAAAGCGGTGGTATGTTTTTTTTTTTTTTTTTTGTGGTCCTTTTAGATTCTGACGACCACGTCGTTTCTTTTTTTTTTTGTCTTCTTCTGCTGAATAGATTTTAGAGGGCATGCTCATACTTGCACTTCCGAGAATGCACCCAGCTGCATTCACGTCCCTAGCGAGGGTTCATTTTTTTTCTTTTTCTATCTTAACTTTTGGTACTGCTTGCCCCAGCCTCGGCCCGTTCTGCTACTGGTAGTGCCAGGCTCGGCAGGCTCGGCATACAGGTAGCCTGAGCCACGGGCCTTAACAACCGGTAGGCACTGGTGGTTTAAAACAACAACAACCCTGTGTTAAACTCCGGGCCGCCCGGCGGCCTGGCCTCCGTCCGGTGGGGGTCCCGGGCGGCCCGGCCGGTTTGGTCCCCCGGTTGAATGCCGGGCGGGCCTAGCGCATTTTTGCGCGGGGGGTCGGAAGGGCCCTGGCGGGGGCAGGCGGCCTCCCCACACACCCCGCAGACGTGTAGGCCTTTTTTTTTTTTTTTTTTTTTTTTTCGCGCCCGGTATTCGTGCTGGAATTCGAAATTGGAGGCTGCCTTTCCCCCTGGAAGCGTGCCCGACGCGCTCGACTTTGCCCGCCGACTGTCGTGCTCGACATCGCTGCGGCCCGTCGTGATTCGTGCCCTGCCTCGAAGCCGTCGTCGACCTCGCTACCACGCCTCGTGCCCGACCTCGCTGCCGCCCGTCGTGAGTCGTGCCCCTCTTTGCTGCGCCTCGAACTAAGTGCTCTCTCTCTCTCTCTCTCTCTCTCTCTCTCATCTTTTTTTTTTTTTTTTTCGTCATCGCGATACAAAACGGGCAGGTCCTCCTCTTCCCCCTCCTGTCATCTTCTTCTTCTTCCTCCTCCTCTCTTCCTCCTCCTGGTCCTACTCCTTTCGTCTTCTTCTATCCTCCTCCTCCTCCTTTCGTCATCGCCATAGAAAACCGGCAGCTCCTCCTCCTCCTCCTCCTCCGTTCGCCTTCTTGTTGTCTCCTCCTCCTCCTCCGTTCGCCTTCTTGTTGTCTCCTCCTCCCCCTCCTCCTTTCATCTTCTTCTTCTTCCTCCTCCTCCTCGTCCCGATTTCCTGCCACATGTCG